AGGATCAATTATCTGATCAATGTGATGTTTTTCCAGAGAACTGGTTACCTGTGCACTAGATTCATGCTGAGCTAACAGCTGTTTCAGGCCTCCCCCCCCCCCATCGCCCAACTGGTACTTATCTGCATGTGTGGAATTCTTATTGAGGGGTTGTTTCCCTGAGCTGGTCAGTTCAGTCAAAGGACTGACTGACTCAGTTTGATATGAATAGGATCATATTTACAATGCAGATTTCCATAGCTACTTTTTTGGTTAATTATCCAATATTTTTGTTCTCATTCTTACAAAAGAAAAATATCTATAGGCTACACAGTTCTTTCTTTCTCTCTTTCACTTCCTCTTTCTTTCTTTCTTTCTTTCTAAATTTCAAATTGTTGAATAATAATAACAGCATGACAGCATTAAAATCTTTTCAATGTCCAAATTTTCTGGAAATAAATCATACTGTTAAGAATTGCTAGGCATTTTAATTAATTCATAAGTATAAGAAATAAGAAGTCAAAGTTCATTTACACATCCAAGGAAGGCATATCTCTTTGAACTATGATTTGAATATTATGAAATGAAGTCAAATTTCCAAAACGTATGTTCATGGAATTTTTGTGTTGTTAAGGAACCCCCCTTTACAGTGACCATTAATATGAATTAAATATTACTTCGTCATAAGAAGTCTAATGATTTTTTTTGGCAAAGAGACGCAGGTTCATTTCTTAGGCTATGTTATTAATTTTGTGTCATCACAGAAGGTAGCCTAGTTTTATTTTGAGATTGTTTTATTTTCCCTGGACATTTGGGATGGATAGCTCAGCATAACAAATTATTCTATATGCTCTAGTTTCAAGTGTTTAAAGTGGAATCCAAGTTTTAGCATCAGGAACCAATTAAATGATAGTTAGATCTGACTGAAAAATTAATGGCTCAGAACAGAAACTGTGTAGCATTTTTTCAGTGTTTTTTTCCCCCTTCTGAGTTTCTGTTTTAAATAAAAGTCTGGATAGTTACCAGTAAAATACAAAGCATCATTTTTTTTTTTAAGACTTGTTGAATACAAATGGAGCCCCACCCTGACTTGAAAGTCCCTTAATGATGGCTGCACCCACAGACTTCTGTTAAACGCTGGGTGTTTATCAGCTCTCACCGGGAGGTTAAGACTGGCTATGAAACACAGCACTGTGGGACAACTAAGGTTTGAAACGCTACCATGCTTCTTCCTGGTGAGTGTGATTTGTCTTTAAATAAACCCTAAAATGGTTATCATTTTAGAGTTTCTGCACAGACTGGTGACAAGAGCGTCTGATTTTTCTCTAGAAATCAATCAGACTCACTAGTAGCTTGAACTAAGGCTATATAAATTGGCAGAAAAAAAAATGTCGATGTTTGGCTCACTGACTTGAACCTTGTTAGTGTGCCTTGACTGGCGGCCTTAGGTGGTACCCTCGTGGGAGGGTTCAGCCTTGAACACCTGGCTGCTGTCGCCAGCACTCGACACAGAAAGCTAGCACAGGACCTTCAGTCTGGCTCTAGTCCAGACCTACCACTGATCACTTAGCTTGTTGCTCATCTTCAGTCAGTCGTTTTGCCAAAAAAGATTTCATGGCTAGCAATATCAGAAGCATTTTGTAATTAAGTTATTGTCGCTTTACTGGAAAATCTCCTTCTACTTGCAAAGAGCCGAGTGTGTGCTCACTTCTTCTCGCCCTCCTCGACGTGTGTGCTCCGGGAAGGCACTTTTGGCTGTGTGTCTTTCCTGCTTAATGGCCTCCACACCACAGTTTATTTTGGTTGGGTTACTCCAGCCGTCATTTTCCAGAGACAGTCAAAATCCCTAAATGATGACAGAAGTCATTTGATCTTGAGGGGCACGAAACAAAAAGAGAAACAGGAGTTTCTTTTGGACCCTTTCTGTGGATTTCTAAGAGAGGAAGTTATGTGATAAGAACAGGGTCTGTGTTTCCAAGCTGGAACACACCATCTTAACCTTTCCCCCGGGGAGCTAGGGGAGTATATTTGCGATATGGAAAGGACCTGTGCCCTCCTCATCGGTCACACGTATTTTCCCTTCTCATGCATGAGACTGTCACTTGTGCTTCCATGTCTGTCTCGGACTTTTTCATTTGGGTGTGGCCTATGTCCCTGGTTCGTTGTGGTACAGTGACGACTGGCTACAGCAGGTGCTCACTGTGTGATTGCTACTGAGTGGATGAACATGTATGTCATCATGGTCCTTGACTCCTTTCCTGTCAGATCCACTTCTCCCTCTTCCTCAGCTCTACTGAGGCCTTGGGAAAGCTGACTGCAGTTGTCTGAGTTTCTCAGGCTCCCAAGTCACAATCTCACTTCTGATTTGGACAATTGAAGACGACATTGGGAAACTGTAGGGTAGCAGAAAAGGAAAAAAAAAAAAAACCCCAGCAATTCCGTCTCCTATATAAATTCTTTGTACTAAATTTTGTTTTGATTACGTACTTGGTGTTCAGTAGTGCATTATGATACAAAGTTGGAATTATACCTCATAACCCTTAAATATGCTTAACAAAGAAGGAGTTGCAGCAGGGCATGGCTGTGTATGGCTGTCATCCCAGAGCACGAGATTCTGAGGCAGGGCAGGACAATTGTGGGTTTAAGTTCAGTTTGGGCTATGTAGTGAGACCCTGTCTCAGAAATAAAAAAGAAAAAGAACCGGAGAGATGGCTCAGTAGTTAAGAACACTAAAAGGAACTGGAGAGATGGCTCAGTGGTTGAGAACACTGACTGCTCTTCCAGAGGACCTGAGTTCAATTCCCAGCACCCACATGGCAACCCACAACTGTCTGTAATTCCAGTTCCAGAGGATCCGACACCCATGGCAAAACATCAATGCACGTGAAATAAAAATAAATAAATTAAAAAAATAAAAAGAAAAAAAGTGGGGGGGAATGTATCCTTATCCTTCAGAAGCATATATAATGGGCAAGTGTCTTTGCTCATATTGTAGAATCTCGAGGGGAGAGTAATAGGTCCTTTGGGTGATCTTCTGCTTCTGCTTTCTAGAAATACCTGATCTTTGCATGTTGTCATGGTATTCTAACCATCCTGCTACTTGGAATTATGGCAGTATATGTAGTCATACCTTTCTGCTATGGAAGTCATTGATAGATTGGGTTCCTATCAGGCACTATTGATAGCAGCTCCCATTGACAGAAAGGATGGGAGATTCTAACAAAGGTACTAACTGTGTGACCACTTTCTGAAGACAGGGAAAAATGTTTTGTGGGTTGTTTAATTTCTATCATACTATACTTGGATAGCTACTGGGGTCAGCAAACTAAGTGGCCAAATACTATTAGACAGCACCCCAAATTCCATCACTTCAAAATTCATTTTTTATAAGGACTTCAGATTAATTCAAATTCACATGAATCTATTTTTCTCGTTTCTCAGCTTTGAGGCTCATCTTTGTATTCTGTTGGAGGGTTTGAAAGACATGAAATGTGCCTTGCATTGGATTATAAGTAGTGGTTTCTCTTCTAAATAAGCTTGCAGTCCCCACATGCAGCTAACAAAGAACATTGGATTTTCCAACAGGTTAATTTCAAATTTATGAGTGAATTTGTGTCAGCAGGACCTCTGTCCCCATTTTCTCCTATGTGTTTGAATACATAGTGAAGTACAGTCTTGCAATGGTCAGGCACCTCTGGCCACCAGGGACTGTTTTAACATACTGGCATGCACAATTAATAAAACAAGACATTTCATTGCTGGTCTAATCTTGAGCATGTACGGTTCTGTGTCTAGTCAGGGCAGACAAGCAAAACTTCTCTTCTGGGAAGAACCAACGTATCTGCAGGATACACTACCACATTGTTTCACAGGAAATACTTGGGCTTCTCTTTAAAGTTTGAAATCTAGAACACCATCTCAGTGTGCAGTGAACACTTAGGGTTAAATTTTCTCATGACTTCCTAGGCTACAGGCTCCCATTAGGTATTCCATTCTCATTCGATAAAAGCTCTTGGCTCAAAATAAACGCCATTCTGCAGTAATGAGCTTCAGGAGCCACTGGACTTTGCCTGGATTTTAGAGGGTGAGTTGGCTGTGAGCAATTCAGCACCTCCTTAGCCTTCTCTTGAGACACTAATTACTCATCACGTTTTCATTTTATCCTTTTTCTTATATTTCAAAAAATGCCAAAGGTAAAGATTTTTGAAAAATGAAGAAACGGTGGAAACACCTGAAAGTACTTTGTTTTTTAAATCCGAAGACCCAGAGAGTCAAATGAGAAAGAGATAATACAAACTTTTGTCTTGCTTCACCTGGTTATAACCAGATCAGCTGAAATTGGGTATTCCAAGCTTCATCCGGAAGCAAATTTCTGTAGTTGAGTCATAAGCCCCTGAAAAATGGGGTTTATGAGGAAAATGTGGAAAGACCCTCAAATTTAGGACAAGGCACAGCCATAATTTTCCAGGCATTAGGCTCCTGAAATAACTTTGTATGAAGATTACACTGGGATTTGTCCCCCATTTTGCAGAAAATGCTTAATGGTGAACTATATTTTATGCACACAAAAAGACTTATTTCATAAGACAAGCGGCTCAAGGACTTTCGTTCCAATATTCAACAATACTATCACTAAAGGGCTCTTTCTTTCTACTCTGATAATTGAGTGATCTTAAGTGATATTTAAAAGAAAATACCACTCTGCTGAACTTATGTGTAAAGATGGTATGTAATAGAACAATTGAAAATTTTAAGTGCAATGTATTCCGTGTATTTGGTATGCCATGAAACAGAATTGATGGAGTGTAATAACGTCTTAAATATTCTGTTCTGCAGCAACCAAGAAAATGAGTTTTTATTTTTGTTTGTGTCAAGCGATAGCCAAAGTGTTAACATTTGAGTGGGCAGTAGAATAGGTATATATTGTATCTAATGCAAAATCTCTAATTCTGGGCAATTCTTGTCTGTTTTCTTTATTTCTTTCCCATTTCTTTTTCTTTTTTTCTTTTTTTAACAAGCCTATACAATATTTGAAAAACTTCACAACAGGTACACACACACTTTTGGCGACTCATGACAGGTTATCCCATCAGGATCATGTCCACAGAAGTGGGTGCCTCCCACCCCCAGAGTGAGCTGCACAGGAGGCATCTTGGGAACCGAAGAGGAGAAACCCAAAGGCAAGCAAGCAAACAGAAGAAAATCCTGCCGAGGGAAAAGGCCATGGGAGGAAGGCTGCGGCGGTTCTAGGCGGTTCTTCTTTCATTGTATCATGATTCATTTGTAAAGAGGAAGCGGGTTCTGAGATAAATACTTGAAATACTCTCTCAGGGGGAGAAGGCAGGTCTTTCCCAGGGGGTCATTTTTCTGGGCGGCCATCTTGGCTCTGGTTCTGCCTTGGTCTTCCAAGGACTGTTGCTCCTTTGGTGTCAGGGCCAAGTATTTGCTCTTCAACCCTGGGATGTTGCTCCACACCGGCACAGCATTCTGGAGGACTCTACCATGGATATTCTGGAGAGTCACAGCCTCCATCTGAAGGAAGAAGGTTGCGGTGACTTGGTCATCCTCAGTCAGCAGTAGACTGTCCACAGCCAGAAGAAAGGCCACTGACTCCCTGGGGGTGGTTGAACATACTGCATGATCAGGTGGAACTGGAACATGTACTAGCCAGGGCAGTGGTCACAAGAGCGACCTAGTGGCTGTGTCGAGCCCTACATGAGGTCAAAGGGGCCCCCTCTCTCCACATCTCTCCTCACAACATTCGTGACATCTTTCAAGTACTTCAGTCTTCCTTATTCAGAGCCAGAACCTCTTTCCAAAAGGCCCAAACTCTCTGTCTTTCTCAATATTCTCAAAGAGGCTCAGTACCTGCATTGACTGTCTCTTCTACGCAGACACTGGCTTGTACATCTCCAGAGGTTTGCCTGCTCTAGACCATGGAAGGTCTTCAGCTGGTAATGCCACTTCCTTCGTGTGTTCAGCAGTCCGCTCTGACTGAAAGGCAGGCACAGGAAGCAAACCAAGCAGGCCATGGCATTAATTCTCTCTGAGGTCCTGGGGCCCACCAGGATACCCACACACTCGAAACAGTAGCATCTGGTACAGTCGGGCCTCTCACAGATGGACAGGGTGTCCCCCGAGCAGCAGATGGAGCAGTAGCTCTGGTGCCCATCCTCATCATAAAGGAAGAGGGTCTCCAGGAACGTGCCCTTACACTGGCACATATTCCCCCCTCAAATAAGGGGTGCTGCGTATACACCTGCAGACTTCCACAACAGAGGCAGATGTCTTCGATGTTCTGTCAGTTCACAGTGACTTCCTATCTGATCTCTCTGCCTGGTGGAGGTGAGGTTAAAGACAACAGCTCCCTTGAGTCTTCCAATACGATGTCCATGCTCTGCTCATCAAGGCAGGGTTTTGGCCACTGTTCTTCCAGGTGGCTGGCAGAGTCCGGGCTAGAACTGTCCGGAGTCTCCAGGCCCCAGGTTCCAAGGGCTTTGGAGCAAGAAGAAGAGTTCTCCTGGGAACCCATGGAGGTTTTCTGCTAGAAGGATCTGTGTCCAATGGCTGGTGGGTGGCTGGAGGTTCGGGAGGTGTGTCAGCAGGGTCGTCAGAAACCTGCAATGCATTGAGAGATGATGGGAGGCAGGTGTAAGGTGCTCGGGTGGGTTCTTTTGGGGCCTAGTGGGGAATTTTGGGGAGGAAGAGAGAGGGAAGGTTAAAAGAAACCTTAAGGCAAGTAGGGATCTCCCATTTCTTTTAGACTAAGAAAAAGCAAGCCCGCTGCTCAAAATTTAACATGTAAGAATGCTCAGATTCTCATATTACATTTTGGTGATTTAGGCTTTTTCCTAAACCTCCATCTTAGTTTAAAAATTAATTCTTCACATATCAGATACCTGATTCAAGTATAGCTTCCACAAAAATATAAAAGGCATATCTTCCTTTGAAACATTTGAACCATTTTAAACTGATAAAATGCATTTATTGTACATAAATACTTCTATTTCTAGTGCTTTTGATGGACAAAACGCATATATTTATTCTGGATAAATATCTATGGTATTTTCAAATATGTATACATTGTTGAATAGGGAGCAAAGTTAGACAGAAGCTGTGGGTAACCTGTAGCAAAACCTATCACTTGTGATTGGCATGCAAAAAGGAGGGACCATCTTGTGGGACTGAGCCCTTCACTACAGGCCCTGGATAGCTCTAGATGCTGTCAGAATTGAATTAGCTGTAGGATACCCACTTGTCTGCAAAGATTGGAGGATGGTTTGGTCTGGTAGAAAACGGCATACATTTTCAAGGTCAGAAATGCTGAGAGAACACAGAAGGGCAAAAAAAAATCATCGGTCACCTCTTTTTTTTATATATATAAATTGCTAAACTCTAAAGGAAATTTACATGAATGTTAATAAAGTTTATGATTCTAAAGTGTTTTACCTTTTTAAAATAAATCCCTTAAGCTGTTTTAGTTTATTCTATTGTTTAATTTCTTGACAATAGTCCTTTGTTTTGTTTTTGTTTTCTAAGTGGGATTTGAGACAAGTTCATGTTTTCTGTTCTTTGTTAGTCTCCAACTCTTAAAATTTTTTTTTAATTAGATGTATTCATTTTATTTTATGTGAATGTTTTGCCCACATGTGTATTTGTGCACCACATGTGTGCACAGGGCCTGCAGAGGCCAGAAGGGGGAACAGATCCTCTGGAACCGGAGTTAAGAATGGTTGTGAACCGCCATTTGGTTGCTGGGACCTGAACCTGGGTCCTCTACAAAAGCAGCAAAATGCTCTTACCCACTGAGCCGTCTCTCTAGCCTCTATCCTCTAACTCTTGATCCTCCTGCCTCAGCCTGCTGAGTGCTGGAATCCCGTGTGTGAGTCCTCATGCCTGGTTCTGTTCTCATCTTAGTGCCGTTGTAGTAATTGTCTTTCCATGTTAAGTCTTGTCTAGCTTGTATAAAACACATCATTAGGGAGCCGTAGGTGTGAAGTCTGGAATTCTGCTTCAGCCTCCAGAGTTCAGAGATCTTAGGGGTGTGCCACCATTGCTTTATTGTTATTAATTATTATTATTTTTAAAGTCAAAACAGTAGTAGATACTGAAGTAAACAGAATTTACTCTTGAAAGCATCTTTACTAGTTTGCCAGGTTGTGGGAGTGAGCAGATCCAGGCAGGAGTTAGAGTCCCCACTTCTCTGGTCATTGTGACAGGGTGAATAACGGTCCCTAAGGACATTTTTGCCATTTTCTCTGGAACCTGTAAATGTTAAATTTTTAGAAAAAATGTCTTTGGTTTTGCAATGAAGAGATTATCATAGGTTATCTTAATGGGTAATTACAAATGTCCTCACAAGAGGGACAGAGAGAGACTAGATACACAGAAGGTCATCCAAAAGCTGATCATCACAAAATCCACTATAATATGTTGCCATTATATCTGAAGGGCTTCAAGTCTATATACTGCAGAGATAATTGCATACTCATCCCTACCATGGTCCTGTTAAGGATCAAGATATCAGCATGGGTACCCACTAATGAAGGAACTGATAAAGAAATACTGTAATGCAGATTATGGAGCATTATTTAGCTTTAAAGAAAGAGAAGCCATGTCATTTACAAGAAAATGGATGGAACTGGAAATTACCATGTTAAGCAAAATAAGCAGACTTAGACATATGCTTCTTCTCCTATGAGGAATGTAAAAAGGATGGTATGAAAATAGAATGGTATTGTCAGAGAAGAGAAAGGGGACAGAGATATAAAGGGGAGTAATTGGGATAAGTATGGTCCAAGTGCATTATACACATGTGAAAAATCTCAGTGAAACACATTGTTTTGTATAATTAATACCTATTAATGAAAAAGAACCTGCCAAGTCCTCTGAGTATATATCATGGCTTTCATTTTAGCATTTTTAAGAGTCTGTGAATGAATTCTTGTGTCTTCTCTTGAGACTCTTCCTTCTTTTGGTTTGTCTTGTCCAGCTTCGATGTGATAGTTTTTGTTCTTATTTTATTTTATTTTGTTATGTTTTGTTGTTATCTCTTTGAGGCTGCTCTTTTCTAATAAGAGACAGAAAGTGAATCAGGACGAGAGGAGAAGGGGGAAGGACTGAGAGAGGTAGAGGGAGGGGAAACTGTAATCAGGATATATTGTCTGAGAAAAAAATCTATTTTTTATAAAAGAAGGAAAAGAAAACCTCAATAAAAAAATCCAGGAAAAAAACATTTAGGTATGTATTGGAGAGACACTACTCTCCAGAGAAATGAATGCATAAGAGGCAGGTAATAGAGTCACAGGGGGACTTCTTGGGGTGAAGTTGACTCTGCTGACAACCGACTATATCCAGGGTGAGGGGGAACTGGTTCAGACTCCATTGCAAGAGAATAAATTTTGGTTGCATTGAGACTGTAAGCATTTCTCACAGTGACTGTTGAAATCAACACATTCATAGAAGCATTGTCCTGACAGAGGGAATTTTAACTTTGATCTTGTGATTGGAAATACCATTTGATAAATGTCAGGTGAAGGGAGTGTTTTCTTTTCTTTTCTTCTTTTTTTGCATAGCATTTTTATTGATTATTTGGGAATTTCACATTATGCACCCTGATCACACCCACCTCCCAGGTCCATCCCCCCACTCTTTTGACTCCCCCAAAAAAAGAAGAGAGAGAAAAAAGAAGGGAGTGTTTTCAATAACTACATGTTCAATGGCCACTTGTAAATTTTTTTTAGTATTAACTTAATTTATTTTAGTGTCAACTCTTCAGGTCCCACCAAGCCCAGGCAGTCCCGTAGCCCACTTATAAAATAAACATACAGACACTTATATTATTTAAACTGCTCGGCCACTAGCTCAGGCCTACCATTGTCTACCTCTTACTCTTATACTCAGCCCATTTCTGTTAATCTGTATGTCACCACGTGTTCTGTGGCTTTACCTGCTGCCTTTACATGATGCTCCCTGGACGGCAGGCTGGCGTCTCCTCCTCTCCACCTTCCTGTTCTCTCAATTCTCCTCTCTGCTAGTCCTGCATTTACTTCCTGCCTGGCTACTGGCCAATCAGTGTTTTATTTATCAATCAATCATCCACAGCATTTTAGTTTTTTGGTAATAAAGCAAAAAGGAACCCAAGTATGAGGGCTCATGATACAATCCGTAAACTTGTGTGGCTGAGGCAGGAGGATCACTTGGAGTTCAAGGCCAGCTTGGACTCTATGGACTGTATTTCAAAAAAAAAAAATAGAAAGAAAAAGAAAAAAATAAGGAAGATTTTGCTTGCTTGAAATTTGTCAGACATATTCAGAGTCCTTGCAAGAGTGAGGAGTTTGGGCAGGATTTGGGACGCTTCTCATGGACCCTGATGCACCTTCATGCTAATGGCACATTGTAGGTTTTAGTTACCAAATGAAGATGACTTACAGGACTTCACCACTGCTGACTTCCAGACCAGGTGATGTTGCTTCGGATTCCCAGATTTTTGATACCGTGTATGGTGAGCCTCATTCCCAGCTCAGCGGCTTTCTCGTCAGTTCACAGGATCCATGTAAGGGGACACACAATAAAACACTGGATTTTGCACCAAGTACAATGAGGACAAAAAGATGGTTCAGTGGACAAGGTGCTTGCTGCCAAGCCTGATGAATTGACTCCAATCTCTGGGATTCAAGAGGTTGAGAGAACCGACCCCCGAACGTTTTCTCTGACTTCGGCAGGCGTACCATGCCATGCATGCATCCCTTCAAACCAGTGAACAAACAAGCAAACATAACCAAAAACTAAAAAAATAAAAAGAATAAATAGGAGTTGCCACAAATATGTAACTGGCCAAAAATATGATTAATTTTTATTTATCCTTTCAGACTTGCTGTACCACACAGTCTCTCTCCATCATACTTTTCTGCTTTATTATTATTGTCATTAATTTTCATTGCATCTGTTTTTTTTTTAATCTAGAATATAAGAAGGCAGGATCTTTCTTTTGCTTAATGATGCATTTCAAATGCTTGGCTATCTGAGACACAGAGCCCCTTCAGTAAACATTTGCTCCGTGAGGGAGGAAAAACTGACTATGCAGGGTATAAAGGGGTCAATCATTTTCTTTCATATTTCTAATTAGTTATGAGAAGTGCTTACGTCTTTGACAAAATCCAAGGAAAACAGACAGATATTTTCTTTAAAGGCATATTTTAGAATTAAAACACTTTCTTTGCTTCCAGTGTTCCCCAAGAAACTAAACACTTAACGAGGCCTGCGTGATCCATGGACCAGAGCCACCTGAAGTTGCTCATTGCTGTTTACTCCAGCCCTTGTCATTCCTCAGTAGCTGTAGCTCTGCTTGTACTGTCTGATGCCAAAAGCCCTTTCCCACTGGCAGGAGTCTCACCTGACTCATCCTTTTGCTTCTGTCCCAGGTTGGGTCACTCACATCCCTGGCTTCTTTACCGTGCATCTTTTAATAGCATTTGTTTTTTAGGTCTGATATCTCCTCGTCAGAGAAGAGTTCCAGGATCATTTAAGTCAATGGTTTTTTTTTTTTTTAACAATCGGTTTTGACTTTGTACCTCCAGGGACACTAGACTGTCTGGATATGATTGTGTTGGGCACACATGGGAAGGAGAGGTCTTGCTATTGGTTTTGATGGGAAGAGGCTAGGATACTGATTTTCTCCGGTGCATGAGACAGCCCCCACAAAAGAAAATCATTGGATTACAAAGGGCAATGTGCCAAGCCTGGACAGCTCTACCGAGGCAAAACAGCCCTCCTCT